AAAAAAGAATTAAAAAAAAAATGAGGATAGTGTAAGGAGCCTCTGGGACGTTAAGCATACCAATATTTGCATCATGGGGGTGTCAGAAGGAGAAGAGAGAGCAAGAAATTGAAAACCTATTTGAAAAAATAATGATGGAAAACTATCCTAACCTGGTGAAGGAAATAGACATACAAGTCCAGGAAGCACAGAGTCCCAAACAAGATGAACCCAAAGAGCCCACATCAAGACACATCTTAATTAAAATGCCATAGATTAGAGACAAAGAATCTTAAAAGCAGTAAGAGAAAAGCAGATAGTTATCGACAAGGGAGCTCCCAAAAGACTATCAACTAATTTCTCAAGAGAAACTGCAGGCCAGCAAGGATTGGCAAGAAATATTCAAAGTGATGAAATGCAAGGACCTACAACCATGATTACTCTACACAGCAAAACTATCATTTAGAATTGAAGGAAATATAAAGAGCTTCCTAGACAAGAAAAAGCTAAAGGAGTTCATTACCACCAAATCATATTACAAAATGTTAAAGGGTATTCAAGAGGAAAATAAAAAGATAAAAAATATGAATAAACTGGAAATAAACACGTATCTACCAACAATTACTTTAAATGCAAGTGGGTTAAATGCTCCAATCAAAAGACATATTGTGGCTGAATGGATAACAAAACAAGACCCTTACATATGCTGTCTGCAAGAGACTCACTTCAGATAGAAAGACACACACAGGCTGAAAGTAAAGGGATGTTAAAAGATATTTCATGAAAATGGAAACAAAACAAAACAAAAAAGCTAGGGTAGCAATACTTATACCAGACAAAACAGACTTTAAAACAAAGGCTATAACAAGAGACAAAGAAGGACCCAGTAACTCCATTTCTGGGTATTCATCCGAAGAAATCCAAAACACTAAATCAAAAAGACATATGCATCCACATGTTTATTGCAGCATTATTTACAATAGCAAAAATATGGATGCAACCTAAGTGTCTATCAATAAATGAATGGATAAAGAAGTGTACATATATACAATGGAATATGACTTAGGCATAAAAAAATGAAATCTTGCCATCTGCAACAAATGAATGAACCTAGAGGGTATTAAGCTAAGTGAAATAAGTCAGACAGAGAAAGACAAATACCTGATGATTTCACTTATATGTGGTATCTAAAAAACAAAATAAACAAACAAGCAGAACAGAAACAGACTCAGATACATAGAACATTTTGACAGTTGTCAGATGGGAGAGGGGTTGGGGGGATGGGTGAAAAAGGTGAAGGGATTTAGAAGTACCAATTAGTAGTTATGGAGTAGTCAAGGGTATATAAAATATAGCATAGGGAATATGGTCAATAATATAGTAATAACTATATATACTGTTGATGGGTATTAGATTTGTCGGGGTGATCACTTCATATACTATATAAATGTCTAATCATGATGTTGTACACCTGAAACTAATATTGTATGTCAACTGTAATTTAAAAAGAAAAGAACCACCATGGCTCCTGTGGTGTAAACACTGGGAATCACTGTGTGGAACTTGTGGTTCTGGGGTTTATTAGTAAGAATGTCTAAGTAAATTAATCTACTTAACCTTAATATTATAACAGTTAAAGCTCCAAATCCAGACATATATAATGTTTACTGGAAACCATCACCCATTTTATTTTATTTTTTCATCTAGCAGCAGGGGAACCGTCTAAGGAGTATGAAAAGAGCGGGAGCGGGAGCTTTGAGGTCAGAGTGGGTTCTAATCTCAGCCTAGTCAGTTATTAGGTAGGTAACATTTAATAAATGATTCAATTATTTGGAAGCTCGGTTTCTTCACCTTCAGTGGAGCACAGCAGTGGTAGCCTTCGGGTTGTTATGAAGAGAGACAAAACAGCACAATGGTTAAAAGAACATGAGCCCTGAAAACAAACTGTTCTGGGTTTCACTCTGCCTGTGCCATTCATTAGCTGTGTGACCTTAACCAAGTTTCTAAACCTCTCTGGGCCTCAGTTTCCTTACATGTAAAAGAGGGGTACCTTTAGTACCTATCAAACAGGGTTATTGTGAGGATTTAATGAATTTTCCCAGTAGAGAAGATCAAAGTAGAGAACAGCTGGTATTGGGACAGCTGCTAACATGGCCAAAGCTTAAAGTTTGCCATGATACATTTTTCTCTAAAAGCTCAAACAGATAAAATTATTTGTAAAATTGTTCAGTGTTATTAGAGACTTTGCCTTATATGTTTTATAGAGAATATCTTTCAGTGGGATACAGCAAAACATGACTGTGCCCTTCTCAAACTAACTACGTATTTTATGCAAATCATATAACTATTTTCTTGAAAACACTGCTGACAAGTATGGCAATGATAGCCCTCATTAATTTTGCAGTAGTTAAGCTTTTGGTTGTGCTTTCTGGGCTTTGCTGGTGGGGGGCCCTGAGTAGCCACAACTTCCGGTTTTCTGCCATATGAAATCTAAAAATCATTCAACAAAACACTGTTTCCCCAGTAAACTAGAAATCATTAATTTCCCACAAATAGAAGGAAAATTCCAACTTACTCACTGAATCCTCCCCTATTAATGTTCCTGATTGTTAACACACCCTGTCCTTGGGTCACTGTGTCTATCACATGACATTGTGAAGACAGTGTCAGCTCCTCTCTCTGCCCGCCTACCCCATAAAGCAGGTTGGAAGGCTTTGATATTATCTGTATACCATCACTCTGTTGGAGGCAAAGGGCCAATTGCATTCCCAGCTTCTGCCACTCCCAGAGCCCATCACTATGTACACTTTCAAATAATGCTTCTTTGACATCTATTTTTTAAATATTACAATTATCCATTTATAGGACAAAACAAAGTAGTTATTACGCCATTCTCTGTGCCAGCCCTTTCTTTTGCTGTCTCTGAGCTGGTTCAGTGACCAAAGCCATACTTCCCAGCACTCCACTCTGCAGGAAGAAAGGATGCATGACCCCAAGAACAGGGTGAATGTGCAAGGCAAGGACCACGGAAATTGTTACTGGACACCCGAAAGCTCAAGGCCACACTTGGGAAAAGACTAGCAGTCCTGGCAAAAGGAGAATGATTCTATTGTAACTGTTATCTGATCAGGACTGGGCAGGAGTTGGGGCAGTGTGGCCCTTGCTTCAGAAGACAGTAAATGGGAGTTAGACTCTCAGTATGAATCAGCAGCAAAGTTATCTGTCAAATTGTTTCTTTTGATAGACAAGGACACTGGATCCCAGGAGGTGTCAGTAGATGGTCATATTGCCTACCAGGGACTGAGCCAGGGTTCCTCTCAGTGCTTTTTGCTTTTTTTTTTTAAATTATCTTTATTGATTTCAGAGAGAGGAAGGGAGAGGGAGAGAGAGATAGAACCATCAGTGATGAGAGTCATCATTGATCAGCTGCCTCCTGCATGCCCCTGACTGGGAATTGAGCCCGCAACCTGGGCAGGTGCCCTGACCAGGAATCGAACTGTGATCTCCTGGATCCTAGGTCGATGCTCAACCCCTGAGCCTCAACCGGCCAGGCTAAGTGCTCCTTTTTCAACACCACATGTTTAAATAATACAGATGGCTTCAGACTTGAGTCACTCAAAAATACAGCACTGGTTATTTTTCCTTTTCTGAGGAAAACAAATCATGGATCTGAAAATGCACCATTATCAGGCATTATGTTTGACATTACACACATTTAAAAAATATATATTGTGACAACACTGTCAGAATATGTCTGGCCTTGCATTAGACACAACTTGTAATTGAGAATGAAAGGTTAAAAATCATCTAAAGAATCATCCATGCATCTTCCTAATTTACCATCTTTGCTTCACCTCTCATCACACTTAATTCCTCTTCCTTCTGGGGCAAAATTTTGTTTCTATCTTTGCATGTGCTGCCTCCTCTGGCTTGAATTTTCATACGCTTATTCCTCGAATTACTAGGTTTCTCTGTAATTTTCCTTTTCCACTTCTGGTCCCATAGGATTTCACATTTGCTACATTCTAGCATGTAATGGACTTTTTATTATTTGGATGTGACCCTCTCTCTCCTTAGTATTGTCCCAAGCTTGACAGAGTGCTCAGCAACAGTGCTTCTCCTGTATTTTTACAGAATTAGAGGAGATCAAAGCAAAGGAATGGTGAACCCAGGATTCCTTATGATAGTTACTTCCCATAGGAAAAGGCCTACTTTTGACTTGATGGTGAGTTTGTGGGTCCTTACTACATATTTAAAAATAAGTGAATATAAGTTCTATATTACTAAGGTACAGTAACTCGAAATTACACAGAGAAGATTGGCTTAGTTGGCATCAACTACTCTACAAAGGTTGCCCTTTTACCTTAAACCATCAGACGTCTAACGCTGAAACGGGTGACTAAAGGTCAGCTCTCCCTTTCCCTTCCCTGGGCTTGACCTTTACTTTGGAACTCATGGGCCGTTAAGACACTTATTTCAGGTGTGAGCAGTTAGTTTCTTTCCCTTTTAGCATAAACACTCATCCACAGGAGTAAAATAATCCCTAGAGTTGGTTATTAGGCGGCATGAATCAAGGGTGCTCATTTTGGGGCCCTTTATCACCAGCGCCAAAGAACACGTATTACCTCGGAGCTGAGGTACGCACAAGCACCAATGGCGACGACGTAACTAGTCAATACTACGTCTTTAGCTTACCAGAGGCCCGGCTTTCCCGAGGAACGGCCTGCACTCGGCCCGACCGCGGAGCGTTAACCGCCCCGCCCCGCTGCAACCGGCGGTCCCAGCCCACGCCTGGCGGCCGCGACCCCCTAACTTCTGCAGCGGAGGGTCCCGCCCCGCGCCAGGCGATTACGGCCCCGACGTCGCGCTCTTCAGCTCAAACATCGTCCCCACGGCTTCCGCCAATGAGCTGAGCGGGCCGCGGGGCCCCGCCCAGTCTCAGGTGACGTCACGCTAACGCCGGGGGCGCGCAGGAAGGCGGGGCCGCCTGGGCCTCCGCCCCCAGAGGTCCGCTGGCTGTCGGTGAGTCCTCGCCGCTGAGACTTCTGCGCTGCTTCTGGCCGCCGTCACCGCTTCCACCTTCGCCTCAGCGCCATGGCTTTCGTAACCAGGCAGTTTGTGCGCACCGTGTCCTCTTCGTCCACGGCCTCAGCCACGGCGAAGAAAATCGTCATCAAGCACGTGGCGGTCATCGGCGGCGGGCTGATGGGCTCCGGCATTGCCCAGGTGAGCCGCCCAGCGGCAATGCACCCCGCCTCGCTTTGCTCGCCACCTGGGAGCGCGGTGATGGGCCGCGCGGCTCGGCGGGTTCACCCCGCCGAGAGGCCGGAGTCCGCGGGACACCCGGAAATTTCGACCCTGCTCCTCCCCAGGGCAGTTGAAACATCTTGCTGCTGGGCCTGTGAGCGTTCATTCCCCAAAGTTCCAGTGTCTTGGGGCCGAACCGCAGGTTTCTTGTCTCTAAATTCCAGCTCCCGCAAGGCCCGATGAGGGCTGGGTGGACCGTGTTAGCGAATGCACTTGGAACTGGGTCTTGCAGAGAAAAAAGATAGTATTGTATGAGACATAACTATGTGCTTGCTTGCTGCTTGGCTTACACCCGAATTGCTTCGAGAGATCGGGAATTTTTCAGAATTATACAGTCTTTGTAAGAGCATTTTTCTACTCTCCTAAAGGGTCGCCTTTCAACCTCCCGTGTGTTTCCTTTGCTTGCTGGGTTACAAAAATATTATAATAGTCATCACTTTTGTAGCACTTTGTAAAGTTACCTAATCAGAGCTTGGGAGGCCCTTTGAGTCTGCCCAAGGCGGTGGGAGGTAGCTTTGACCTCTGACCCAGTGCCCTTTGTTCTGAGAACTGCGCGATTTAAGGGCTTCGAGAAAGTGGGAGGTGAATGAAGATAAAGGGGCTGAGGGCCTCCAATCTAAATGCGGGTCTTCAAGACTCTGCATTGTTCCAGTCGAGCTGTGGCTCAAGGTCAGTTGTGCAATTGATTACCCGGATACAGTGATATTTGCATCTTGTTTATTTTTTGCAAATTCCAGCTCGTATTGGAGAACCTTGATTTTCATGTCCTAGTTGATTATATTCTTAGCATTTCAGCCTTTTGCACCTTGTATTGTTGAAGGGGAGACCGTTATCTAGTTTTTCTTAGTGGAGTACTCCAGTGCAGTGGCTAGAGTCATGAGTTTATTTTTCAGTGTCCTTCCAGTCAAGTCCACATTTCCATGCTTGCTCTTTTAAAAATCTTTTACTGTTATTATATATCTTAATTTTCTCTCCCTGCACATTTTTTGCAACATATTGATTTGATTGCATTTTCTCCTAAAATCTGTATTTCATTAACATTTTATCCTTCTAACAGTTTTCTGTTTCTCTCTTCCGAGATCATGTTTTTGGACATACGTTGCCCTTTTTATTGTGTGGATACCTTGGCCGCTAGGTTATGGTGTTCCCTTAGTCTATGTTCTACATGAGATGTGAGGAGTAAGTCCCTTTAAGCTAAAAGTTCCAGACATTGTATTACATTATAGGATACTCAAGAGAAAGTTCAGCTTGAGTGCACTTCCATTCGCCTGCTCCTGTGGCTGTGAGTGAGATTTGCTGTGTGAAGGTATAAAGTAATGTATTTGTATACAAACATTTAAACAACATCCCAAGGACAAGATTCATTAGGGCCTTAAGCCTCCAATACCAATATAGGAATGGGGTTCAGAAACTGTTGTTAATGGTGCCTTGAGGACATCATCAGTGGAAGAAGATTACAAACTAAGTAGAAAGGATTATTTCAGGTTGCTCACCTCTTGGAATGCTGTGTCCGTTATTGGCCAGAAAAGGGTGTTGTGCTGCACAATAAGGCCCCGAGGTAGCACCTAAAATTATGAGTATGGTATTGGAGCTTTCATCTGAGAAAGGAGGGAGGAGATTGACATTGATGGGAACAGATTTGTGGATCAAATCCTTGAGTAGTTGGACCAGGGAGTTTCTTTTGAAACTTCAGGGGGTTGGGTGGGGGAGAGCTATTTATCCTACAGGTTGGAAATAAAATGGAACTGTCATTCCAGAAGTTGAAGTAGTGGACAGTCATAACGAACAGTAAGTTGTTCCATTCTTACAGAACAAGGTTTACAAGAGCCTCAGCCACTCTAAATGAAAGGGAGCTCTAATCCTGTGGAGGGGAACCATGATTTTCTGCAGAACATCTCTGTGCTACTCTCAGCCAGTAGTTGGGTTCGTTTCAGCAGTTTAACAGATCCATTTTTGCACTCCACCCTCAGGCATACAGTTCTAAGCAGTATTGCTTCATTCTTCGTGCTCCTTGACCTACATGTTTTGCTTATTGAGTGCCACAGAAAATAGTTGATGTGCTTGACTGTAGATTAGCTCCAGTTCAGTCTGGGGAATTGGATGGCCTCTGTGCTAGCTCTGCCTCACATTGGCTGTGTTAACATGGGAAAGTTACTTAACCTCTGTGCCTACTAATCTTTAAACTAGGACTAGTACTACTACTAGCCTTGGAGGAGGATCTAGAAGATTGAATGAATTAGCACGTGTAGGCACTTAGCACAGTGAAGTGTCTGGCACCTAGTAAGCTCACAGAGGCTTAGCTGCCTTTGTGATTATTCGTTGCAGTTATGCCTGTCCTCTGGCCTTCTCCCCTCATACCATTCCCATCTCGGGTCGTGGCTGCTGAGGTACACCTGTAATGTTTAGATGGAGAATATTGGTTGTGATTCTGTTCCATCTCACTTAACCTTAAAGGCAAATGCCAGTTGTCCAGGGACCTCTGTGAAGAGGGAAAGCACTTTTTACCCTCCCCCTGTTGTCCTGTTGTATTGTTCATCCTCATATAGCTTCTTTTTTTTTTACTCCTCACCTGAGGACTTGCTTGGAGAGAGGAAGCTGTGGGAGAGATGGAGACATCGATGTGTGAGAGAGAAACATTAATCGGTTGTCTTCCATACATGCTCCTGACCAGGGATTGAACCTGCAACCCAGGTATGTGCCCTGACCTCAAATCGAGCCAGCAACCTTTGGGTGCAAAGGGTGATGCTCCAACCAACTGAGCCACTCTGGCCTGGAGTCCTCATAAAGCTCTATAAACAACAAGCACAAACTAGCATCTAAGGTAGGCTACTAATTCGCATTTAGCTTCACTCTCTTGAACTCTTTCTGAAGTAGTTTTAATTTTAATCAAGGTGTAGTTCTGTTTACAATCTTTTTTGCTTCCTTTTTATTGAATTTATTGGGGTGACACTGGTTAACAAAATTATACAGGTTTCTGGTGCACAATTCTACAGTACATCATCTGTACACTGTATTGTGTGTTCACCCAAGTCAAGTCTCTGTCCATCACCATTAATCCCCCCTATTCCCTCCTCCACCTCACCTCCCCCAGCAATCACCACACTGTTGTCCGAGTTCATGATATTTTTTTATTGATCATTTTTGCCATATGTCCCAGTTTATGCTGAGTAGGATGGAAAAAAATGAAATAGATTTTGTGGGATCCTGACACATTTCTTGAGCAATTAAGCAATTTAAGACTGTGCTTAATTACAGTTGATCAGAGCACAGGTCATTTGTACATATGTATTCTCCGAGAGTATCTACTTTGCCTGTCATTTCTTTTGTTTTAAATTTTAAGAAATTGCTTAGGCTGCAGGTTAATATTTAAGTAAGGTTAACTGTTTTTTGTGTGTGTGTTTGCCCATTACACACTGCTGACTTGGTTCTGATTGCCAGTTGGTCTTTAGTCGGATACTTGGGCTGGCAAAGAAGCTTACAGCATCAAATGACCCTTGAGTTGTTTTTTGCTTTAGAAAGGAGGAAGAAAGGGAAGAAAGGTACTAGCTGTGCTTGTCTTCAGTTTATAGAACGAGTTCTTTCTCAGGTTTGCCTGTACATTATCTTTTTTCACATAGGGAGCCCAGAGAGCTTGTAGCTTTCATTAAGTTACTGGTGAGGAGTCAGTGAGCTCCCTGGGTGTGGCATTACAGAGGCTGAATTTCTCAGGGATCCTTTAGTACGCTACCCTTCTTGGAGGAAGTGAGAAAGTTTGCATCTTGAAGGGGATTGGAGCTGGGTTCTTCTCACTCAAAGCTTTTTTTTTTTTTTTGGTCCCTTTTAAAAAGCAAAAAGTGCACATTTCTTCTGGGGAGAGCTCCTTAAGCTGTTAAAACAAAAGAGGGGGCAACATTCTAAGCTACAGATGAACATTTTCCTGGCATTTGTGATGATGCTTGATGAGGACTCAAGTGGACCCAAAAGCTTCTCCCCAGCCACTGAATTTGTCCACCCTTCTCTTCCCTCTGCCCCCAGTTCTGAATTTTCTGATGCCGAATAGAAGAGGATCAGAGTTGTTCTGTATTGTTGGACTTTATTCTCTCTGTTTTGCAGGGAGTTCATCTCTGTGGAAATTTGCTTGAAAACAGTGCAGTGGCCTGGGAGAGGTTTTGGGATCACAGGAGACTGGCACAGTCTCTCCTTGTGACGGTTCTATAGGTGGAATATTTTTATTCCCAGGTGTTAACTTCCTCCTCAGGGGTGTGGGATGTGTTTGTCATGACCTTCTTCCCTCATTTCCTGTATTTTTGCTCAATTCTTTATTGGGCTGTTCTCTGCTCTTTGTGACATACTGGGACAGTAAACCAGCTTCTGTCAGCATATTAGCTCTTGGACTTGGGGTGGGCTGATTGGCAAAAAAAGAATGCTATGGAATACCTTGGGACATTGTAGAGCAGAATGTTGGGTTTTGGGTTTTCTCTGCCCTGTGTTAGATCCAGCCTCACTTATTTGTCCCCTGCTTGCGTTTCTGATTACCTTTCCTCCCCCTTCTCTCTTCTCCCCATATCTGCGTTAGGCACACCCCTCACTGCCCAGCTCTCCCGGGACCACAGGAAGATAATGCTGCTCCTCTCTGTTCTGTGTCTCCCCTGGGTTATGCTAATGATGCAGTGGGATAGTTTCTGGTGAGTGGTGGTCTAATGCTTTAAAGTGAGCAGGCTGTGAGGTGCCTGCTGGAGTTTGGATCCCAGCCCTTGCTCTTCTGGCTGTGGGGACCTTGGGTGAGTCATTTAACCCCTCTCTGCCTTTGTCCCTTATCTGGGAATTAGGATACTTGCTTCACAATGTTATGAGAGTCAAATGAACCAAGTTCTTAGAGTTGTACTAGTGTGTTCAATGGGAACTGTTCAATAAATCTTTTATATAGCTCCATCAGATCT